AGGAGAATTGCAATGATTCGTGAAGCGAAATGGCGGATAAGCGAAAGGCAAAGGTCACGAAAAAAAAAATTCGAAGGACAATTCGAGACCATTCTATTCCCCTTTTAAATCAATAAGTGCCTATTTTGTTTAAAAAATCCACACAACCATACTAACAAAAATCGAAATAAATCTATTCGAAGACCACAAAGGCATCGTAGAGTTGCCATACCACCTGAGTAATTCGTTTTAGACAGAAAGCAGCATAATTTCCTTTAAATTTTTCACATTTATTCGATTTTTGGGAAAAAATGAAAAGAAAAAAAAAATTGTATTAATCAATAAATTTTTTTCCTTCATTTTCACATAAGTAAATTAAAAATGTTTAGCTGATGGTAAATTTCACACACTTGCAGGCTGACACAAATAATCTGTGGCTGCCTCTTAATTCAGCGCGCGCACGTGTGTCTGCCTATGTTCGATGCATATATATATATATATATATATATATATATAAATCATATTATATGCTATTTGCACTTATCACAAGTGTGCAGTCAAATCGTTACAAATTGAATTTTTCGAAATGCAAACAAGAGAAGCAACAGAAAATATTGTAAATTGAGTGAACAACACTAATCCGTTTCAATAGCAACAGTAAAGACCCCACAAACTCGAACAAACCAAACTCATCTAGGGGAATATATGTGACCAAACACCCACACACACATAACCCGACACTGGGCAAGGCATAAAACTGTCAGAGGAGAGCACTTCACAAATGTCGTTCGGTGCTGATAGTGGTGGCGCTGATGGTCAGACATTAACATATCAACAGTCTTCGTGCCATACATAGCGTATAATGGTTTACAGGCGCACACACAAAAACACACATTTATGCAATGCACACCCCACACATATACAAATACACACACACACACACGCATACACAAAAATTTATCATGAATATGGCTTTATGTGTTTGCTGGCCGGCATGTGCCAGTGCGCTTGTGCGTGTGCGTGTAATTGAATTTGGTACGTGGACATTTCGTATAAGAGCATCACTTATGCAAATATAAATGAAAATGTTGCCAAAAAACATTCTCCAAAAAAATATCCATATTATACAAAATAAACGTAGAAAACATATATACACGCGCACACAAACGGCCACTCGCATTTGTACACTTGAATATGGTCATAACAATTTTGTTGTTGGTTCTTGTAATTTTGTAAATAACTGCTTTAAATTGTTTACTTGTTTGTATTCTTTCCCTGCTTTGAATCACACGATAATAATAATAATAATAATAACAACAACATCGAAAAATCAACATATAAAACACCACGCAAAATAACAATTTCCGCATAAATATGTAAACACTATTCATCATACAAATATACAACAACAACGAAAAGCGACTATTCCTACAGCCACCGAAAACGGTTTTGCATAAAAAATATGCAAAAATAAGTTATTGTTGTTGCTGTTGTTGTTATTTATATATACTATATATATATATTTACACACATACTACATAGAAAGATATGTATATATTAAAATTTCCTTTTTGTTATCGCCCAACAGGCATTGTTGTGTGGTCCATAAGAGCAATGAAGAGACCTTAGTTTGTGTAACAAACAGCAACAACAGCAACAGCAATAGCAGCAGCAGCAAAAGCACATATTTAACGAGCAGGCAAAACCATAAATTGCTATACAAGGCCACAATTCCATAACCGAAACCAACAAGACCATAATTCTTATGCTTCTTTCAGATATACAACCATATATATATATATATATATATATATATATTTATACATGTAATTGTCTGTCTAACCGTCTCCCTCTACGTTTTTCTCTATGCCAATGTGTGTTTCTCTCCCAAATATAAAAAAAAGAAAAAAAATTATTTTTAACAATCATAAACCGAAAGGTAAAAAATTCGTTACACTTTGTGACTTATTTTCTGTTATGGAGTGTTTAGTTGCTATTCAGTATATTTATATGCATGTATGTATCTATATATGCATGTGTATATATATACTGTGTTGCCTTTAGTGATTTCCTCACCATTTTATTTACTTACTAGTTTTTTTTCGTGAAACAACTGCTTACTAACAGATAATTTTATGTGTGACGGCGGTGCTACCGGAATAGGAAATAAAGTGGTTTGGACAATATGCGTTTGGTTTCAGGCCAAACGAAAATATTCTACAAATTTTTAGAGAAATTTTTCCTAATACAATAGAGAGATAGGTAAACATGACAAAGCCATTTTAAAAGGGTGAGAGAATGTTTAAAGTCGTTTCTTTAGCGTATATATAAAATATTTACGGATTCTGGTATTGAAGTCGTTACAACGTCTTAAAACATTCATCCAGGACTCGGCAAGATCGACAGGACGTTGAAGTTAAAGCTTCTATTGAAATGGCATTGTTACATAGATAAAGAAAATGGTTAAAACAGAAATAACCATTTCTCTGCCTCCCTAAATGCCACACTTTTGATTACCTTATTAATAATTATTTTGAACCATTTTGACTATTTTCGGATGTAAAAAACTTTCGGACACTTTAAAATCGGCTTTAATCTCGGTGTATATTCCATTTAATTCAAGATCACACAAATTTAAAGCATTTACTACTTAAAAACGATTTATGCCGACCGTTTATCACTCAATAAGTTTCCGATTTAAAGGGTATATGGCAACATTATTGAGAGACGCTATCTTTGAATAATATCAAACGACACGTTGCAAAATTTCATGAGATCGGGGTCAATCACTTTAAAGGTTAGAGTGAATTTAGCAACGTTAGTTCTGTTCTTTTCGAAACGTTGGAAAACTCTGACTAAACATTGCATTTTAATGAGAAGGAATAACATTAACAAGCACCGTTGGCTTGAAAGATAGAATGGCGGCTCTTGATTTTTGAAAAAAAAATGTGTGTTACTATTTAAACAAAGTCCATTTATTAAACCGATTATGCTGGACGTTCTGGTTGCCCAATTTCGTCAGCTGTTCCAGAAAACGTAGAAAGGGTGCACAAAATCCTTTTGAAGAACCGAAAAGTGAAGTTACGTGAGAGAGATGGGATCTTAAAAATATCAAAACGTAGTCCATCCACCACTACCCAAAGTGGGTGTCGCGTTTACTCGGTTTTGCCTACAAGCAAAAATGTGTGCAAGCAGTTGAGGGGTAATAGGAGCTAGTTTTTTGCACAATATGCGATAGTGGATGAAATATGCAATAATCACCACACTCCATAGGGAAATCGGCAATGAGCCGAGCGGAGGGCAGCCGGCGAAAGATGTCTAAAGTCACCAAAAAACCGAAAATCAACTGGAAAGATTATGGCAACCGTACTTCTTGTTTTAATATAACACAATGGCCCAAGCGATAATCCCTAGTTGTGTACCACGTGTAATGGAGCAGAAGAAACTGAGGAAAGAGAGAGAGAGAGATAGGAAGCTGATGGCCGAAGCCCGACGTGTGTATCTATCCAATTGTTAAGTCTTACAACTTTACCGACTGAGCACTTGAGATTTGAACCCGCAAACTATGACTCGATTGTCCCAGTTATTAGCAACCAGGTTGCTCATGCGGATTTTGGGATGCGTATGGTGAAATATTCTTCGACTATGTTGAAAATGGGCAAAGGATCAATAGCGAATATTGTGTAGCGTTTCAATGATAAAATTTCAAAAAAACGGCAAGTTAGACTGAAGACTTATTGAGTAATGCGATATGCGTATGCAGTCCATATATTATCTAGATATAAATCAAGTCAGTAGTTATTTAAATTTGGGATAAACTTCAGATATTTGCTGTCTATAGCAAAGATGCATATAGCATGAATATAAAAACCTTATTATTACGTTATTGTTAAGTGTAGGAATCTGCACAGGTCGATGCAGACCATTTCAGGTATTTGTTTGCTAGATGTTGGACCCATAAACACTAGCAATTTAAAATAATTAAACAAAACATTTTGATGTTTCAATTTCTTCCTAACTGCTTTTCAGTTTCCGATTGAAATTAATTTGCGATTCCAAAATCTCTTTTGCAAGAGTAAAAATGACCTCAATTTGCTTTTCTTCAGCCTTCTTGTGTGAGTTAAAGGGTTTAGCTAATAAGTACCCTTACAAAAACAAAAGTTTTTTCATTTGTTCAATTATGGCTTCAAAATGCTAACTAAAGCACTGCAATAGGCATTTTTTGTTATTAAAATTACACATAGAAACTTGAAAATATTAATTAATCGGCAAAAACTGTCTCTCCCGCCTGCAACAGAGAGTATTTATATATATATATCTTAATTTTATTAATGCATTTTCAAAACGTTGTCATAAATGTCATATATATAATTATATTCGACTACATTTTGTGTATCTTTCTTTTATAGGGCGATCTAATATTCGGCGTGTACAAATATTATATACTCAAAAATGACAATTTATTGATAAGTTTCGTCGCTTCAATCCAAGAGAACATAGCGGTTAACATAAAGAAACAAGAAAAGGCATCTGCCTCTTATCTCTTTCATGAAAATGTAAATATAAACCATATGAAAAGATTTAACATGTGTTGAATATAACTTCTCCTTGTTGTACTCTCTGTTACTTGTTCATTTCACACACCAATATTTTCACGCTCTCTCTTTTATATTTGGCAGCACTAAGTGCTGCCTACTATTACTATGAGTAACTACGTTCGTAAAAGTGAAAAAGCGTTAAAATCGAAACGCAAAATGTTTTATAAGCAACAGAAAAACAAGATGTATGTAAAAAATTTTCTTTTACAAACCTTTCAAAATTTTCAATTAATCAGATTTTTCAAAAGACTTGTATAAAAATTGTGTGCGATAACAATTTGTCAATAAACGTTTTTGCGGTTTTCAACAAAGTGTGCACCTCATATAAATTAACAGTATTTTAATTGACTACACTTTCATAATAAAAACGACGCTTACTTCGGAGAGAATAAAAAAACAGAACTGCGTGCTAAATTTATTTTAGAAGAAAAGAAGTAATATTTGCAGTAGAAATGTAAAAAATAGTTTCACATTTATAACAAATAATAAAAACTAGAAAGAAATCTATTGTGTTATAAGAAACTTAAGTTGTGGTTTGTATACGTTCCTTTAAATTATTTGGTTTAAACCGTCACGGAAAAACAAAAACGAATAAAAACGAAAGTAATAAAAATCGAAACCAAAACAAAAATTGTAATACTTTTACAAATTCTCGCAACATTTTTTTATAATACATTATAAATAAGCGTTTATGCATTATCCCACTGAAAGAGCGAGAAAAAAATGAACGCCAAAGAAATTCTGATGAAAGCGGTTGTTTGTGATCGAAGTGGTAGAATTATCCAAGCATTAACGCACTACCAGGACGGTATCAAAATTCTAATGGACTTAGTCAATGGTAAAAGTAAAATTATATATTAGTAAAGAAATTGTAGATAACAACGAATTTGCTTAAACAGAAGAAACTGATGCGGGAAGAAAGAAAGTTTACCATTCACGCATCAAAGAGTACCTTGACCGAGCCGAGCAAATAAAGGAACGTATATCACGTTTTGGTCATAGTGGTTCCTTGCTGCACAATATATCTATAGAGGATGGTGCCACCGGGTACAGCTATTATACGTTATTTGGCAAATATCTTAGTAACGAAGTCCAAGAAGTTCTTATCGAAGAGCCCTACCTTATAGAAAGATATCAAGTAATTAGTCTGAATTCTCTCTTATAGTTAATTGAAATATTTCGCTTAAAGAAAGCTTAGTTTCAGAATTTAATAAATTTTCTTGAGGTGATCATTAAAAATTGCGCAGATTTGAAGTTTGTACGCCTAGTTACTAAAACAGATAACAAAAATCCTGAAAATCAAATGATCACATTAGATAATATTAAGGCTGATCTTTCATTACGCGAAATAACATTACATTTTACATTCGAGGATACTTTACATGATCGTAAAATTCTGTAAGTATTTCGTTGCTTAAAGTTGCGTGGGGATTTCAATAGTTTTTAATTCAACAGTTTAAGTAGTGGATATGTGATTAAAATCGGACGTGGTCTGCATATCTATAAGCCTAACAATCCTAGATACACTTTGGGCATGTGTGATTACGACTTTCGTAAATGCTTGCAAACGGATGTCGATATCTTGCGTATAAAAAAAGTTAGTTAAGTTTACTGTTTAGTCGTTAAAATGTGTACTGATTTCTGTGACAAAAACAAAAGAAAAAATTCAACTTAATAAAATCTTTCATTTTTTCTTTATTTTTAAACGTATATTATAAACTAAAATGAAAACGAGTTTCAATTCGAGAGGGGGTTAAAGCATTGCGTGTCGCGTACATAAGCTTGGAATCAACTTATGTGGATTATATTTGACATAATTCGGAAAAATATTTTTTGAGGATTCCCGGCAAATATTTGTGCATTTTAATCAATATCGTCATCAAGCAATTATTGGTTATTTACTGATGAGTAACCACATAGCCATAACCGAAATAATTTAAAAATACAATAAAAGTACACATTTTTTTTATTATTTATTTATTAAAAATATCCTTCAAATGCAAAAACCATTAACTATGAACATAAATTATGAGCACAGCCATGAATAACAACAATGGTAACAACAGCAACAACATGACAAAGTGACTGCTGTTAAAGTATTTGACTGGAAATGTCAATGAAATTAAATTTTATACAATCGTTCAGAGGGCCATAAAAACAACGCACAAACGCAAAAGGATGAAAACTAAAATTGACTATAACTCAAAGCCAAATAACAACGCATACATATAAACATACAATACATGAATTTAGTAGAAATTTATCAAGGATTTATACATAGGGGGTGAATGGTTGGGTGTTGACGACGACTGTGACACACCAAGAGCTATTTATAAATATTGTCATGCTACCAAAAAGATAAATGGAATGGTAATATATATATATGTATATATATATTACCACGTATATATATATATATATATATATGTGTGTGTGTGTGTGTGTGTGCGTATGTGTCTCTGCCTATATGTGTGAGCGGGTTTACGGCATGCTGAGTTATATGTCAACGCCTAATAGCAACATCAGCAACAAACCGGCCAAAAAACGAAAACGAGAAAAAAAAAAATTGAGAAGAGTTGTGTACGTTTTTTATGGCCGCTGCAATAAATCGTTAAAAATTGTCTGTGAAAATGTCAGCACCCTCGCACACACATACATACGTACATAAATAGATATGCACGACTAACTCGAGGCCTCCAATACCACCATTAACTATGACCATACATCTGTTGGGTTTTTTATGCTTGTTTTAGTTTTTGTTATTGGTGGTCGCCAATTAACAATTCGCCAGCCAATCGTCCAAATATAATAAAATAACAGCGCATCAGTTTTCACACAATTCCGGTTATATACAGTAGTCACCACCGTTAGCCGTTACTCACAGATGTACAGGCAATCGCAATCGACCCAATGCCAACAAAGAAATTGCTTAAAAACATAAAATACGCAGCCATGGCGTCCACTTGCTGACCATAAATGTTGATTATAAATATTAAGAGTCGTTACATGAAAAAAAATATATATTAAAAATGGACAACAATGAAAAGTATTCCCTCTATAACTGGAGCAGCATGAGTAAAACAAAAAAGAAAGATAAAAAATTATATTTACCACGGACGACTTTTACGAAGAGAGAAAACGATCGGTTTAATATTTGTTTTAGGAAAACAAAGGGAACTTATATATCCAACTGGGTCCCCCCCCACTGCCTAGATTCTAACATATGTCATTGAAATCCAGTTTAGTCCATTCTTTACAATGAATTTCTTACAATAAACGAATTAAATTATTCGGCAGCTTGTTCTTCCATTACTTCCACTACTTGCACTACTTTCAACTTTTATCAAATTAAGGCATTAAGCCATTCTATTATGGGTTCATTTTAAATTTTGTTCACTTCTCTGTTGCTTCATTTAAATTCATTCGTTTTGTCCTCCACTATCGATCGTTACTTTCGTTCTTTATTCCATTTAGGGGAAAGTTCCACGGCAGAAGAACAAGGAATATGGGGAGATGGTAGCCGCAGCCTAGCGGGTGCGCGTCTAATCGGTAATTGTTATGCCATTAGTGACTGATCACTCGTTATAGCTACAAGTGAGATGCACTTTACCGCACTTGAGATTTTGAAATGGCTTGGTAGGCGCGGAAAAGCGACTAGTCATTGTGCAGTCGCAAGAATTCCTCTTTTTTCTCTTTTTTATTGGTTTTCGTAACCCCACAGAGTTTTATTGTGCGTCTAGTGACCTAAACAAAACCACAAAATACAATTGTCGAATTCCGGTCGGGAGCTTAATCTGATTATATGGGTAATTAAAATTGGTTCCAATGATCCAGTGCGCTAAGGGAAATACCTATACGTGTGGCATATTGTGCTGATGATAAATATATTTTTCTGTGCATATGATAAGTTGAAGAGTTGAATTCTTTTTCGCCAGCCTTGCCTTGATCCGTTTGGTTGCCGATATGTTTACTCATGACTTCAACGCCTCTATTACAGAGAAATAATGGCCAATAATATTTTAAAAGTGGAGGCTATGGCGTATCCAACCAGCAATAAAATATTTTGGAACATTGTCGCAACAGTATAGGCAGCGTCGTATATTTGACTCAATCAAACTATCGATTCATTTGAATGGCTTGTGAATTTTACAAGGTAGTTTTTTACAACTTTTTATCATTTTAGTTATTACGTCCTAATGGCGTATTTTAGAGGATCTTTTTACAAAAAGAAAACACCTTTTTGTCGAAAAGTCTTGCAATGGAATTAAAAGAAAAAAAGGATGTCAGAGGCATTCTATGAAATTGAAAATCTGCTTAACACCTGCGCTTTTTTCATAATTTCCTTTTTGCTTCTTCTTTCACGCATAAACGTCTTTAACGGAGGTAGCAAAAAAAAAAAAAAGAAAAAACATAAAACTTACGATCATTTAAACAATTTTCGTACGGATGCATAAGCGTGTGTCAGCCATTAGTTAGCATTATTTTATGTAATTGTCTACCTATACAATATACAATGTATGTATGAAGGCTCATGGTATGATATGGGCAAGAGCGAGAAACGGATCCATGCTTCTTTCGGTCTTTCATATGAAAGTGAAATTGGATGCATGAATGCATGAAAGAAGTGATGGTCCACTTTTTTCCCCTTTTCGGTGAGTGTGTTGTGGCGCGTTGTGTTGGTTATCATCTAACACAAACGAATTTAAGCAGCGTGCAAAAGCACCGGCATTTGGTCATACTTTTATTTATATACAATTGCGTTCAAAATAATAGCGTCGTATATGTGTGTGTAAAGTAATAAACGGACTATTTTAGTTATGGTGAATTCATATACTCATGTAATGTGGAACCTTTGCAAGCACTCACCATCGCTATGATAAGAAGTGATGAAGAATCGGCGTTTACTTATATAATAAGTTTTTGAACTAAGACGTTGGTCGTGGAAAGTGATTGACAGCGTGAATCGATCCGTTTGTCTTTGGGCCAAAATACGTCTGGTGTGGATGATCTCCTCAAAATTGTGATATTATTTCGAGATGCCTTTAAATCGATTGTTTCGACTGAGCATCGGTCTTAAAGACCATCCAACGAGCGAAGATAAACAATAATTTTAGTTTAAAGATCATCTCATGACCAAAATGACCGATAGACAGATGTCGACGGCTTATTCGAAATGAATGGAATTTTACTAAATACATAATAAAATATTCCCTCATTTAGCAACGCGGACACATTATTTTATTACAAACGTTCAGAAATTCACCAGCTTATGCTGTTGTAAACTGATTCTTTTGTTTACATTATCCCTATCACAAGAAGGGGAAATGTAACATAGATTGTCTTTTCATTACCACTTAGCTTTTTTTTTAATTTTGTTTATACGAAATTTGACTACTTTTTCATTTGTAAACAATTTTTGTTCACGTAATTCGAAAGTCGTTTGTGATTATATATTTTGTATATATAGGAAATGTGCTTTTAGGTAAAATCGGCGAGCAGATCTTACTTTGAAAAAAACCAATTTTTCTCTCCCTCTTCTTAATTTCTTCCCATTGAAGAGTTTCCAGAACAATCCTAAAGTTTGACTGATCAGATAATATCATGGTAAAATTATCCTTTTCGATTGTTCTTCTTTTCTATATGATTGCAAGTTGGAAACGTCTACAATATATTAATGGACTGCTGTTTAACGAAAAACTTTATCTTGAAAGTAACTTTTGAAATGCACCATAACGGCATTATTTCAAGAAAACTTATTAAATTTTTGAAAATGCATTAACAAAATCATCATTTTTCTCCTTTATAATGTAAAGTCACCACTATTTTTTTGACCACAACGTTTCTTTATACGTGAATGCATAAGTAAATATATATATATATATATATATATATATGGCATCTATAGCCACAGATACTTTATTCAGTATAGATAGATAAGTACGTTGTTATGTTATGCTCAGGTATGCACAGCATGCATGTCCTCCTGGTATGTTTGAATGTGAATGTGTATACGTAACGTGGATGACACTTATTACAAAATATTTTTGGATGAAATTAAACGTGTGAGCATACATAATGTTGCCACCTTTGCAATTGTATGCGGACACATACATAGATGTGTAATGTAGTATGTGTCCGTGTAAATGTGTGTGTGTGTGTGTGTGTGTGTGTGTATATATATATATATATATATATATATATGTATGTAAGTATATGCCTGAACAAGACTCTTGAAGAATAGTTGCAACCAGTGCCAAGTATACTACAAATACCATAAATCTTTGACAGAAGTCGAAACTGTCGTAAAACCTTGCAACGCATCACCGGGCAGCAAGGCAAGGCAAGGCAAGGCTAGGCAAGCAAAGCGAGCTAGTAAGCAGGCAAGCAGGCAGGCAGGCGGGAACTAGCAAAGTCGACCAACCATCTAAAGATATTTTAAAATATTGAATAAAAGAAAATAAACGACGCAAAAAAGACGTTTGGAAAAATGGCATTGAACTGCAATGCAGAGCTCACTGCAGTTTATCTCTGTTACCACCCACACGCTGTGCAACAAAGACAAGAGAGTAGATCATAATGTAAAAAAAAGCTTTCAGTCGACTTTAATTCATAGAGTTTTCGGTCTTTTTTTCTTTTAATTTTTTTTCGTTTTTTTTTTTGTTTTTTGGTTTTTTTTTTTTTGTTTTTACGTTAGGTTTCGTTTACGACTTTATAGACCCCGGTGAGTGTTAACAGTGCTCCCACACAGCAGGCGGGCAACCAACTCTTCTTTTAAAACCACCCGCACGGCATTACATTGTGGCCCAAAACCAGAACTGATTACGAATTATGTGCAATCGTAATGGGAACCAGTGCCAGAAAATATACAAAAAAGGAAAGACAGAAATGTATTAAAAAATTGTCGCCAACAACACAAATTTATTTTCAATTTTCGTTAATCCTTTTTTACACATTCAAGCAAACGCGCACATACGTAAATGGAAGGATATGCGAATCCTGGCACACGGCATGGCAACAATTTAATCCCAACGTAAGAAAAATAATAACGCGTTTTTCCTCTTTTTGGCTCAACAATTACAATTCTTTGTTGAACATTTAAAAAATTAATGATTTTGGCCGTCAGGGAGCGGGAAAGGAATAGAAAAAAAAAAGGAAAAAAAAAATTCTATATTGATGTCACTAACGAAAACGGTGGTAATCAGCCACAGTTTCCGACCACCCGCAACGTATAGAATATTTACGACCACAATGCTCGTACATAGCGAAACGCACTTACACACACACATTTATGCATTTTTCATATATATATATATATGTATATAGAGTAAGAGTTAATAGCAAATATTGTGACTGCATAAAAAAACCGAAAACCTTATTTCATTAGTGAAGCTTAAAAATTTTACACACACATGCATCCATATAAAGAAGTCAATTTAAACTAACGCATCCCGAAAAAATTGCCAAAAAATAAAGATGTACATGTAACGCTTACTTGTACGCAATTGAAGACTTAAGTAATGTAATCACAACAGAAAACTTGCAATAGAAAAACAATTGTGGGCGTGTCAAGTTGGCCAATTAAGAGCATTTTTATATAACCCTGTGAAATATTAGGATCAAGTTTTAGAATAACATCTGTTATTGGTGTGTTATCTGAGTTTTGCATTTTGCTTGTGATTATCTTTTTTTTTTAGTTCGAATTCTAAGAATATAGGTTATGTCACTTTTAAGATTTTATCATAATTTTGCGATAGTTGACTGTTCCCACAATACAAAGCATGGGGATGGATATATCATCTATGTGAAGGAGCTCTGGCAATTGATTCAACATCTAAGGCTAACCGATAATGTGCCCTTGGTGGAAAGGGGCAACCATAAGAAGTCTGCCCGGTTGTACATAAGCATCAACGGTGAACCCAAACATAAATGATTCGAGACTGATGTCCCGATGTAATCGATTAGCTTTGCTGAGTGCAGCACCTTTTGAGCCGAATACTGAAAAAAAAAAAAATTGAGCAGGATATGAGTAAAGACTCATGGTTCACAACAAAGTGATTTTACAATGCGATTATGACTAATTACATGTTGCAGTGCTACTTGCGAACATTTAAATAGGATATTGTACCTCATCCGCCGTTGGGCCTTCCGCTTGCCAACCGGTTTGATAAATAGATCTAATCTGAACAAAGCTGTTCTTCTCTTATGTCGTATGCAAAAAGTGAGTCGATTGTCAAATTGCTCATCGGTTGTCAATTGCTAGTTGCAGTATCAACTTGGAACTCGTATGTTGTCATAAAGAAAGGAGCGCGAGTGAAGGCGAAATTTATATATTAGCAAATTGAAAGTGATCATTTTCAGGTTGAAGCCCAAGCGTGCCTACGACAGCAGGAAAAGCTGAACGCAATGCAACGACATCTAAGCTCCATGATAAAGCGGAGGACCAAATCGCATGCGATTTGAAATCAGTAGGTGTCGCGTAAAGGTTTTCCTAGTGCGCACTTTTTCATCAACCAAAAACTTCGCCATATATTACCATTGAGTATTCTCGACTCCAAGCCTTTCTTCTGCACTTTACAAGATTAGCTTACTCTGTTGTAGAACATATTTTCCTGTAACTTACTGAAAGAAGACACGAAGGCAAAAATGTGCGATAGATACATAATGCATTTATTAAACGGCGAGAGAACGTTTTAAGTGTTGGTTCGTCGTATTTCTCCTCCATAGTGTCTTCTAATTATAATTTGTTTTTGTCAAAGCGCGACCAGTTCGCCGCAGTGCGAACGGAAATATGAAAAAATTGGAGTACCCTAAGCCATTCCGACCAAAATTAAAGGAGAGGCTACCAATGTGTAATAAGTTTGATAATGAATCCTTTACTGGGAACCAAGTCATCCTGTTAAACGGAATTAAACGAGGCTACTCAGATCAATTAAATCTTACAAGCTGTGACAAGAGAGGTATATAGTCCTGTTGAAATTAATTTGGGATACCAACCGCATAGGTTAATTATGAGGAACGCACTATTTTCCATCTTAGTAGTAGTAGTAGTAGTCGAGGTGTCTCTCATCAGCATAGAAGAATAGAAGCGCTTCTTCGTATCGGATTTTGACAAATAATGGAAACGATCGATAGATATATTTTATAGTTCATAGACAATTTATCCGTATCCTTAAATGCAATGATTACAGTTTTAACTGTGTTATCTTTACACAAACACATACGAATGCTTTTTACTTTTTTCTATTAATTTGTATTTCCTAGTGATTAGTGTGTTACTTGAAAATTTTTACAATCTGTAGCCGTAAGTTTTTATGCATGTGTGCGGCGGTTCGGGTCGAAAGACCTGTAGTTTATTCGTATCCTTATAGTCACTGTAGTAGATGGTATTAATACATTCGAAACCTAAACGCTCGTATAACTTGGCCGAATAAAAACTGGTGCAATCAGCCGTTATTGCCTCGAATTTTGCATCTTTAGCTACTTTTATCATTTCAGTTATCAAACGAGATCCAATGTTTTTGCCGCGCATTTTATTATCCACACCCAGGGCATGGTTGTGCAGTACCCTCTGAACTTTATAACGCTCGCACACGTTAGCATCGCGCTCCACGCAGCCTAGCAACTGTGTCATATGTAACCATTTCCTAGTAGTCGCTCTGTTAGCAGCCTTAAATAGGTTGTCAGCTTCGTTGGCATCCTTTGGACCGACTATTAAAGCGCCTACTATACGATCTTTTAAGTTCTGTGAAATTGGCTCTATAGCCATTAAGGACATGCCATGCTTAACCATGGACATGGTATATTCCTCATCGGCGTCTTCCTGTCGTTTGGGTTCAATGCCCGCATTTAAAGGTTCTTCGGGATAATAGTGAATGCGTAGAAACTCCAACACACGTTCACTCTCTTCCGGTTTTATTAAACGTATCTGTATATTATCTGGTTTAGTGGTTATGTTCAACATGTTGCCGGCTGGAATTGATCGCGAAATCAATTGCTTATCGAAACTCTGACGTAAATTATTTAGAGAATACGTTCGCTTTAATAAATTCTGATGTTGACAGTTAAGGTAATCGAATAGAACTGATCGCAAACATCGTGCACTACGCGCTGTATGCCAAATCATAGGAAAGAGAAAA